CCCCAAAAAAAAAAAAACAAAAAAAAAAAAAAGACCGCGATCGCGATCTGCGGCGGCAATTCAGCGGGAGGTCCTTTGCTCCCAGCGGGAGTGAGGGACCGTCCGCCGAATTGCCGCCGAATACCTGGACGTGCCGCCCCTCTCCGGAGCAGCCGCCCCAAGCACCTGCTTGCTAGGCTGGTGCCTGGAGCCAGCCCTGCCCATAGATACTAATCCTTAGAATAGACGATGGTGTAAAGGATTTGTGGGCATGAGTTTTGGACAAATGCATTATTCAGAGCAATGCAGGCCTTCTTAAATGAGCACTAATAAACCCTTTATCCCTCCCCATTGCATGGAGGTCGCATTTTAATAGAAAAAACTATTATGAACGCTCAACAGCTTGTCTCACTCACCAGTAGAAGTTGGCTTGATAACAGATATTACCTTACCCACCTTGTCCCTCATGTAGGTACTAAGCAAAGCAGGAAAGCATCAGTGAAGACTAGAGCGGCCAGCAAGCATCCCTCTTCATTGGCTGCTTCAGGTAGCGCTTAGATCTTCCTAGCAGAGAGGCAAGTGACTGAAATAGGTCATCCGAGTCTCTATGTAAAAATCCAGCTGGAGTTTCTTGGGTTGTTCTTTGCTGCCCACAACTCCCACCTTTACCCAAAAACCACAGAGGGAGCCTGATCCTGAGCTGGTGTAAATTGGCATAGCTCCATTGGTTTAAATGGACCTCCATTGCTCTACCCCAGCTGAGGATCTGGCCCGTAAGAGATAGGGATGCAGTCCCAGAAACCCACAGTGTTTTCCGAGGGCAGGATACTGAAAGGCATGAAATCTAATATCAAAACCTAACAACAGTGGGGGAATAGAGATTCTTTGGGATTCCAGGATGAAAGTGAAATTGAACCTCCCAAATCCTGGGATTAGGGTTCCTTAATTCTTCGTTCGGTGCAAATCAAAGGATTAGTGTCGTGGGAAGGGGCAGGGTTCGCACATCTGGGCCTCACTATTTTACACAAGCAAGTAGGGACTCCGCCTTCCTGACAAATAGTTTAAAAAAATTCACTAACGTCCCCAATAAATTCCTCTTCCTCTGTCTGGCCACAAGGTGTCTCCTACACTTGGAGCAGAGCTCAGCTGCGCGCTGCGTCCATGGGAATGGCACAGCTTGTGGAAAAGCATGTGCAAACAGAGAGAGAGAATGAAAGCCCTTTGCCCTTCGCAGGCACATAGAAAATCCCCTCCAAATAAGAGCTTGGTCCTCCCTCCCATCAACACTTCAACGTCGGAAATACTTTTATTTTTAAAAATGCTTCTGCTTGGTTGTTTCACCAGCTGCCACTGACTTGATATTGTCCATCCTGAAGTCAGAGAGGAACTGAGGCAGCTGCTTAGAGAGAGAGCCAGGATGCCACGGGCAAAGAGATCCGTTCCAGAGGGAGAGCTTTCTGAGGCAAGAGAAGCCTGTGTTAAATCAGGACAGCTTCCCATGCATCCGTTCCCAAATGGGACCAATAATCGGAACCAGGTCTGTGACCTGTTGGTGAACAGTGCATGGGTCGCAAAGTGCCAGCTCTCCCCTTGGGACTCCTCTAACTGTGTGTTTGTTTGTGCAGGAGTGGAGGCAAGGAAAGCTACCTGGGTTAAGATGGATACGATCTTTCAATCCAGCTCTGATTGCTCAATATTGCTCAAGAAATGGAAACTCTTCAAGGTGATTCTTCTCAGGATTGCTGGTAGGAGTGAGTGACCTTGGGCAGCAGCACTGGAGAGACCCAGCTGTTCATTTCTGTGTCATGCTGTATCTATGGCCTCCCCAGGTGCAGAATCTGACCGCCTGGCCTCTTGCACATGCAGAGAACAGTGCTACAGCACCACATCCGCAGACAGCTCCACTGGCTCCCTCTTCGCTGCAGGCTCCATTTCAGGAATTACGTGGAGGCCAGATTGGGCTGGATCGATGCTTGGAGGGTTCATGCTCAGATCTACCCTTCCCCACTGTCTCTCCTTTCTTCAGACCCTGCCAAGGGCTCTCCACAGGTGAGGGGATCTGCAAAAGAGGCAGGAGAAAGTGTGTGTGGTGGGGGGGAGGGGGGGATGCGTATTGTCTCTATCACTCCAGCACCCTTTGGAAACAGGCAGCAGAGGGATGTTAATACAGTCTATGGCAGCCCTGCTTTAAGTCAGCAAACAGCTCACTGATAGGGAGCCAGGACAGAGCTTCAGGGGGCTGAGAGCTAATAGAGGGAACCGGGTCTTGACCTGGTGGCCCCATATCCTGGTGGATCTATGGTGATCTGTGGGCCAGAATCCTGCTTTCTTCTGTGTGTGGAGAAAGCCCCACCTCCTAGCCTTCCTAGTGGTAGACTCCAGAGGGAGCTCTGCAAGGGGGCCCCCTACATGGGTATCTGGCAGAGGGGCACAATCCAGCCCTTTACCTTTTATACTGGCCAAGAGGAGGCCACACAGAACTCAGGGAAGGGCAAGGGGAGGGCTTCATGACCAGAGGAGTCTCTGTCATCAGGTTGCTCTGTAAGCAGGGACATGTGTGGTGCGGTGGTGGCACAGTCAGCAGAGCGGAGGGCCAGTGAGAGAGAGGGTCCAGGCATGTCTCCTCGCACGAACTGGAATGCTGCAAAAATTATACCTGGCGGTGCCTGTCAGGTCTCACACACTTGCTTGGGCGCTGGGAGTTTCTGAAACTGTTTAGAGAGACCCCTCAATTTCTAGTTCAGCTGTGTTGGGGGTTGTCATTGGCCAGATTGCAGGGCTGAGCTTTTCAAAGCTGCCTAAGAGACTTGGATGCCCAGGTCCCATTACTATGAATGTGGGTCAGGTGTCTGAATCCCCGCAGCTGGCTTTGCAAAACCTCAGCCTTTCAGTTTCACATAAGCTTGATTTTCTGGGAGGATTCTGGGAGTGCAAGCGTTGATGTGCCAGATCCCTGGAGTCTTGGTTTCCTGTCTCCAAGAATGGCCAATATGTGAGGCTTCAGTGGAAAGTGGCAAAAGACAAAAAAAAGAAAAGAAAAAAAAGAAATGAGTGCACCTTGCCAAATGTGCAGTGATGTGTTGGAGGGAGTCTCCATTGACCCTTATGGTGACGGAGTGAGGTCCTGAAGCATGTGATTGGATTGCAATTAGCATAAGTACAAATGCTATTTATTGGTCAGACAGTTATCCAGCCACAGTAATGATAATAAAAATAGCCTGGATTCCCCTCTCCCCCACCTAGATCTGCATGCAGAACTCCCCACACCTGTGCAGATTGGGCATCGGACACCATCCCCTCCCCCTGAGGATCCCAGCGAGGTGCCATGGAAAGTGGGGCAGGCTAGAGGGAGGGGTTGGGAATGTGCAGGGAGGCATGTCATATCCCCTCCTCATATCCCAGATACCCTGAAGAAGACAATGCAGCCTGGGGCTGTGTTATTTTTTCTGGGTCCAGATGGCGGTGGGGTCAGAGCCCATGCAGAAGCACAGGGCCTCTGCGCAGATGACTCCGCCATCCCATGGATCCTGAGCCTCTGCCAGATTTGGGAACTGGTGAAGAAACCCCATCCCCAGCTAGAAGCAAGGGGAAGAGCTCCATTACTAAGGCTCTTTGTGGAGATTTCCTCTCACACAGCCCTTTCCTGCTTGCTGCGCTGCAGGAAAAGGGGACCCAGGCCAGTGCGTTGCATCTCTCTACAGCCCCTTCAATCCTAGCCTCTCAAACCCTTTTGTCAACATGGATGAAGCTACCATCCCAGCACCGCTATGAGGTAGGGGAGCTTCATTACTCCCTCTGGGCAGGTCACAGAAGGTAACTGACTGGCCCAAGGTGACACAGCAAATCTGTAGGAAAAGCTTGAATCGATCCCAGGTCTCTTGACTACCAGTCGTGTGCCTTAACGTCAAACCCATCCTTCCTATCCCAGACAGCATTTTCCTCTATGATCTTCCCCTGCGGCGGCGAATCCAACCAGTTGACTGCACAATGGATTGCCTGTGATTTGTCAGCTGACAATTTCAACTGTCAAGTGAAGGTTACTGGTAAGTCCATGGAACACCATTATTATTAGTTACATAACAGTCGCTCCCACAGATCACATCTGAGAACAGGACCTGGCAGAGATAGGCACCTTTAAACCTATCGTGAGAGTTAATTCCTGCTCCAGAGGAGTTTAAAATCTAAATAGAAAAGAGAAACAATGGAAGTATCATTAGCCCCATTTTACAGATGGAGAACTGAGACCCAGAAAGACATAATAACTTGCCCAAGGTCATACAGGGAGTCTGTGGCTGAACTGGGAAGTAAAACCAGATTTCATGAGTGTTAACCACAAGACCAGCCTTCCTCACGAGAGCCACCTTTGAATAACAGCTGGGTGGGAGGGAATGATTATATGTGTCATCCTTACCGGGGCATGGATTAGGGACTGGCAATCTCTCTGCCTAGCCTCCTCTGGGTTATGTTTCTGTCCCCAGGGCATCGACTGAATAACTGAAACATTGTGCCAAGGCCTTTGGATGTCTGAGCCTATGGAGAGTTGGATAATATAATAGGAGAATTTGCTGATTAGGGTCGGAGGAATAAAGCAGATTTTTTCACAAGCAGAGCAGGTGAATAATAGTGAAATCACCTATTAGGTGCTTAGAGTGGAGTGAGGATAGAGAGAGCATAAACCCATGTACCCAGCTCAGTGGAGATGCCATAGGTGTGCTGTATTGAGGACTGCATTGGAACTGCAAGTAATCGCTATAAGAGTGTGTGTGGGATGGTGTTCCTGGTCCTGCTTGCAGGCAGGGGCCTCTGTAGGGAAGCAGGAGATCAGAGTCAGTCAGCAGCCAGCCAATCTAGAGTAAGGTGGGGTGAGTTGTGCCTCTTGGTTTTTAGGGAGCAGCCTGCTTTTTCTCTCTCTGTTTTGGGGTTCATGTGTGATATTGTTCTGAATTCTAAGACATAAAGGAATGTTATGTTGCTACCTTCCAGCATGAGTACTTTATATTTTTATATAACTTCTCTGTGTGTAGGCTGTGCACATAACAAGAGGCTTGCACCAGGGCTGGATTAGGTGTTAAGACCCCAATGCACCCCTTTACTGAGTGGTTTCCTTCCAGCCAAAGCTGTTGCGATAGGGCATTGTGATATTCAAGCTGTGATTCTTGCTTTGGCCCCAAAGTTATTTTAAGACTTATAAGGTTTTTATATCTTGCAAGATTTCCACAGCCTCGCTAATTTGGAACTGCTCCTTTTAAAAAATGGGCTAAGTGATGGCCCCATCTCTGTCCATTCAGCTCCCTGCAATGCCTCCAGTGTGGCCTGCAGCTTCAGGAGGTCACTCATTTTCCTAGCTTAATGATCTGTTGCAGAAAACAAGCCTCCATTATGTGCTGACTTAGAACATGAATATTAATAATCCCCAGCGGTTGTTTGGTGCCATCCATCACCCAGGTTTGGAGGGCTCATCCAGAGCTGCTGGGTATGTGGGGAACTCCTTGATGGAGCCATGACGCATCCATGGACTCTGCTCAGTGAGGCTCTGCTCCAGGTGTCGAGCTTAGAAGTCCTGGTGGAGCAGTTCTTGCTCTTTCCCAGCCCTGCTCCTGACAGGAGAGGGAGCCAGTAACAGAGTGCAGGCACCCATGCTTTGTGAGCAGTTCCTTGCTGCTAGCAGAGGCAATCCCAGCTGCAGGAGGAAGACACTTAATGTATGTCTACACTGCAGTAAAAGACCTGCAGCCCGGCTGTGCCAGGCCTCGGCCAGCTGACTGCTGGGTAAGAGACTGCTGGGCTTACATCGTTACATTTCCCCACAAATAGGTGGAAGGTGCAGGATATTTCATATCTGATCTCTAGTGAATCCTGCATGGTACAGGCGGCCAGTGAGCTTTGAATGAGAGGCAGGCAAAACTGACACATCAAGATAATTTCAGAGCCAGTTTCCAGCAATATGTCAAGACCATAATGTATGTGATTGAAAACAGTGTAGGGGCTGCTTACCCTGCCTGCCCTGAGCGACCGGATACTGCCTTTACTGGAAATCTCAGGAGCTGGAACATAGCCCTAGATTCATCACAAAATCCCAGGGAGTCAAAGGCTTCTGGGAGTGAAAAACAACAACATTGTTATGTTATTTCTTCAAAGGACATACTTATAGCTACGTAGTGGGTAGGATATATAAACTACTCACTGATCAGCATTAATTACAAAGCAAAACAAATGAGAACCAAGCAAGATTAAATTCCACTTCATTTGATATTTCCCATGTTGAAGGCTTCCGTGCATCTCCTTAGTTTCAAAGCCTGACAGAGATAATTCAACACGGAAGCGGTAATTGATACAACATTGACGTCCAGGAGAGGATTATCCACGTGTCCAAGAACTTGTCTGGTGGAGCTTCACATGTAAGTGTACAAATAACACGGCCTGCTTGTGAGAAAGCATGGGGGCTAATTAAGGCCCTTGGTAGCCTCACACCTGCATCGGGGGCAGGCCAGCCCTGTTAGTGGAAGAGACCTTCCATTGTTTTATCTTTGCCGGAGATCTGCTGCACATACTGTACAACCAGGCTCCAAATGTGAAGAGCAAAGTGGGGCTCTTGGTGTGCTGGGTGTTTGTATAGCAGTGCGGAGGATGCCATTATATTAAAGCTTCCAGTGGCTTCTGGGAAGTGCTGGGCTCTTGGCTTGGGAACTTTGTCATTTTCTGCCCAGTGAACCATGTCCTCTAAACGTAGGCACCAGGCTGGATGCCATGTGGAGTAGCCAAGAGGGAGGAACTAGAGCTGGAAGCATGTAACTCCTACGGACACAAATTAGCCTTCATGTCCACAGAGGACTGTGCTGTTAGGACATTAATTCAGACCCAGCCGGTAGGTCATTTGGGGCCTAACTTTCAGAGATGATGAGTCCAGAATTCCAGCCAAAGTCAATGGGAGCTGCAGGTGTTCAGCAGCTCTGGAAATCTGGCACTTAGAGTTCTGCATCCATTTTGCTGTCTGTGGTGTGGCACCTTCACTTAATGGCATGACACTTGCAATTGGAATAGAGCAACATCATTGTTGTAGACTGTGCGTGAAGGGTTAATTTGTATAAGGCTGCAGCTGCCACATGCAGTGTTTAAGCTCTAGAAAAGAAAGCATTTTCTCCAGGGGATGAAAACTGCACTGTGGCTTGCACCACATTTGCCAACTGCCCCCGTGATCCTGTCATTGCGGGCAGAGCTGGCTTTGCCAAGCCAAAGCAGCAGGTGCCAGCTCAAATCTGGGAGTGGTGTAAGGGGGAAAGAGGCCATATCTCTGTCACACCCCTGGAGTGCTCAGCTTTAAATCAAAGGGAGTTTGAGGAAATCCAGAGCCACCTGGGAGTGCTGGAAGAATTCAAAGCAGGAAGAGGTGGCCCGGTAGGGTTACAGGTTTTCAATGGCAGCTGGCTTTTCTGAACAGCGCAATAGGCTGCTGTGCTGAGCATGGTTTTGGTGCACACGCTGGACACCAGAAAAAAATGCAGGCCATGTAATACCCCCTTGGGTGCCACACCTTCCTGCTGCCCATTTGGGTGTAGATCACTCAGGCTTGGATGAGGTGCTGGGGCAGTGCCACAGAAACCAACGGAGTTGTGCCCTCTTGCGCTGATATGGCCCTCATGAGTGAGGCTGTGGTAAGCACCCAGAGAAGTCCGGCCACCATCCAGAGGACTTTGGTGACTGGTTAAGACTGCTGTAGTGCCTGCCGCACTGGCTGGTAGGCAGCAGGCTGGACATCTCTGCAGCACTGACGGGGTTAAGTACAGAGTGTTTCACATTCGCCAGAGAGGCTGACGTGCACCCGGACAGGTTTTTTCCCCATTCTCCACCTTATCCCTGAAGAAAGCATCCTGCTCATCTGGATTGTAAGGTCTTGACTGCTCTCCCCACCCTGACTCACCTGACTTCAGCGTGGGCATGAATGCTGCAGGTGGCTCAGCCGATGCCCCACTGCGCCTGGCTCATGGACTGGACCCTTTCCTTTCTGACAGCCTTGAGCTTCCCACAGACGAGCAGAAGGTGGGAACGCAGCACAGACAGCACCAAGACACACTTCCTTGGCAGTTTCACAGCTCTTGGATTGTGAGATTAGCAGCTGTGCTACTGCAGCTGGCTCCGGAGCTAGGGGTTGTGACAGCTACACAGCTGTTCTCTGAGGGGTGTGTGTGCACGGAGAGGTGGGGAAAGCCAGACCAGCAGGGGGTGTTGCTGTGCCAGCTTCCCTCACAGCATCCTGCCACTGTCCCTCAATGGTAGCCGGCAGCACCCCCACATAGCTCCACAGCAGAAGCTACCTGCTTTGCTGAATTGAGACTCAAAGAGTGTCACACATTCACTAGTGACTGCCACTCTGAAAGGTCATTCTTTGTATGGCAGTAGCACCCAAAGGCACCTCCTCACCCCCAGGATCAGCACTAGGCCCTGTACAATACAGGATGAGGCCTCCACTGGCCTAGACACTGTCCACACACAGCCCCTGCCCCAGCTGTAGAGCTAAATGCACTCCTTGAGAAAGTACCTCAGCTAGCTAGCTGCCATCACCATATCTGAGCACCTCATGAATATTAGTGAGTCAAGCCTCCTGGGGTGGGAACACACTATTATCCCCATTTCACAGATGGGGAACTGAGGCCTTGCTCAAGCTCACCAAAGAAGTATGGGGCAGAAAGCCAGGAATTGAACCTACCTCTCCACTGTCCCTGCCCAGTGCCTTCACCCCAAGACCAGCCTTCCTCGCCACAGCCACATACTCGTCTTTCCTTCAGAGATGCTTTGTCTCAGTGCCAGCCAAACCCAGCTTCGGCTCACCATTTGTGACTGACATCAGGAGTGTGGCACGGCGATCACAGGGAACGTTCTTCCTAATGAAATGACTCCCACCCCATTCCAACTCCCTCTGCTGTCATTTCAGCTGCCTGACGTGGGGGGTCTCTGGTGGATACTGAAAGGCCACCGTGACAACAACAAGCCATGACATCTTGGGAATGACCCTGAACAGAGCTGGAAGTCATGTACCCCAAGAGTG